CATGATTTTCAAAAATACAGATCAAAACAAATCAAAACCTGTAGCAGTTCTTAGGATTTAGCAGCCCGGTATATATTACAGTTATTAAAGATGGCATATGTATATAAAGTATATATTGCACATAAAGCACATATTGCAACTAGTTTGACGGTATTTAACAGCAGCAAGTTACACAATCTACAAAATACAAGATAGACACCTTGTAACAATAACAAGGGTTTAGCAGCCAGGTATAAATTACATTATGGCGCTCTGAGGAAGAAGAGTTTGAGCCAATCAGAACCTCAGTGCTAATCTACAGTATCAGGATGCCTTTTCACACCAGACACTCTGTGTCATAAAGAGAGGAGGAGAACGAGTCAGGAGGACATGTTCTTCTAGCTCTCGTACAAAGATAACATTTGAATTGAATGACCAGATGTTTACAGATGTACAATTAATGATTGTTTTTATATTTCCAATGACCCAAAATGTGTTAAATAGTGGTGATAAATATATTTGTCAGATCAGATTACACTTTCACACTAAACAAAATAAATTAATTGATATTTTCAGATTATAAGGTATTGAATTATAAGATATTTCTAATATTATAACAGATAATGTTAATATCCTTAATTGTCCAACAATCAGGCTTAACAACACTACTCTTCAATGTATTACCCATGGACAGACCGACCTAAAATGATGTTTCAAGTTTTAAGAATGTTTAATCCTTCCTTTCCAGGTTTTTACAAAAGTCTTTGAATATTTGCCTAACTTTTCCTTTTCAGATTGTTAAACATTGTGAGAATTGTTTGATATTCCCTTCAGATTTTGAAATATATAATGATTGATAGTTGAAGTAATGTAATTATGTTATCATGCCATAGTCTTTTGATTTAATATGTAATGAAGTAAACGTAAAGTAATCCTAAATTGAAGACACTGAAATTTTGCAGATTACAGATTGATCAAATCACAACTGTGATTGTATACCTCACCTGGATCTCTTATGATTCTACGTTTTAAATGCTTTTGACTAGTGATTGCCTTGAAGTAAATCTTTAAACTGCAAGCTGGTTTTGATTTTATAGTTTGATAAGTGAGATTAAGTAATGGTTAAATGTTAAAACATGTTATTTCAAAGTAGATGTTTTTGCTATTATGCATCTGTGTTTTATGTGTGTTCATTATTGTGCTTTTGACAAAAGATGATCAAACACTGATGAGAGATGATTTTTCTATTGTGGTTGTTTGTATCAAACGTTGTGGTTGAATGTTTCAATCTTATTCTACTTTGTGATGTAATTGATGTTGTGTAAGGCCACACTCAAATCTGAAGACTCCTATTGATTTAAGTATTGACCAAATTATTATTAGACTAATGTTTTAAGGTTATCATAAATGATAAAAAGAGTAGATCTGTCAAAGAATATTTCTGTCTTTACTTCTAGAGTACCTTATTGCCTGTTGACGTTTACGACCAACCAATATTCTGTTATCTCCTTTAAAGAATGGTTTGCTGCACTCATTCTCAGTTTTATGACCGGTCAACTCTCGGTCCCAGAGCCTAAGAGTCAGGCAAGTGATTCAGCATGTCCAGATGTTGGGGATATCTCCAGTGTTCCCAGCTGTTGATTAACTCTCTGTAAATTAGTTAAAAGGTCTATTCGAGAGAGAGGCTGGTCAGATTTTGACATGGCAACCCACCAGGGCAGTCAGAATCTCTGGCTGTGTGACTTGTGATGTGAATTTCTCCGGCCGATACTTGTAAATAAACATCAGTGTTTGACATCAAAGCTCCAACTCTCCTCGTGTCTCTCTGAGTCCTGAATCTCCATTGCTGCAGAAGCTTCCCTTACAATAATGTTATATTTTTCTCTTGTAAGGTTTTATATAAACTTACAGAGACAAATTATCTAATTTCTGCCTATTTGTTTTACAATGACATTTTGAAACAAATGTCCTTGTTAGGAAACTTCTAAAGTTCCAGCTTTTGTACCTTGATTGTGTCCTGTTCTGTCATCACCATAATGGGTTGAACAAAAACAAGTTTTAAATACAACATTATCATGACAGGAGGCTGAAGATAATTGTAATTCTCTAAGAGATTAAACATCAAAAGGGTTAAACAAGACAAAAGAGCAGGCTGTTTTAGGTTATGGGTTTTAATTGGCCTCCATGAAACATGTTTAAACAATCAGAAAAGCAAAAGGAAAACAAATCAAACAAAAGAACTTTAGGGTTCATGTCCATTGGCGTCTTTTCTACCTGTAGCACATTCAACTGCTGCCCGTGTGTACCTCCCACTGTAACTATACAACAACTAAACTTAGTTCTTTTGAGAATATGATTGTTTTCAGCACAGAGCACCATTGTAGAGGTCCTTTTATTTACTGCTTGCAGGCTGAACTACTGCTGTCAATTGGCTTTATCCGAAAGGAAATATCCAATATGCATTTGGTTCTAAGGTAATTTATTATCTTTACTGGAGAGTAAGAATCAATTCGAGGGGGGGAAGTCTTCAATGGCTAAAAATGGTTTTCTCTCACCAAAAAAAGACAGTACCATATATGAAAATCATCTGTTCACACAAAGCCTAATAAGTGTGTATGGCCAGGCTGTGAACACAAACAAAATTGAATCCTCACATTGAAATGTATCCTGATCAGATTTTGGATGAAATGAAAAGTTCCTGTGTAGCATTGTGTTTAATATTTAAATAATAAATGTTGTTTGTGTTAACTGAATACATTAGGCCCAATCCTCTCCCTTACTGACACACCCTTACTTACTTTTACTTCCGTTGAATGAACAACCCATTACGACCTGCTTAAGCAAAACATTCTATAGATAATTGATCAAATATGAACATAATTATGTAGGACAAGAAAAAAGTGGAAAATAAAAAATATAATAAAAATCATCTGCGCTTCTGTTTCTGCACTTACACTTGACTCCGTCCAAAGCTCGCTTTTTTCATGTTTTTAAAAAAAAACAAATGGCATGGGTTACTACATTACTTTAATCTGCATTGTCAACCACCAAAGATGACAAAGAAGCCAAATGTTTGTGTTGCTAAAGTTTTTCCCCTGGAAAGTGTTCAGCAGTAGTTTAGTAAGCATGCAGTAAAGTGCAAACCTTTTAGCAATGGCTGCATATGGAACTTTTGTCTTTCTTTGCTATGAAACAAAACAGCATACAGTATACACCAAAAAAAGATAAAAACAGCCATTTTCTATTCTAAATCCATACCCTTTTTTTAAATTATACAACAGGTAGAATGAGTGTCCCACATTGTGAATTATGATTAAACTCACAGTCTAGTAAAGAGTCAAAAGGTTATTTTTATTGAAAACATTGCTACACATCTACCGTCAGCGACTATCAAAGTTGTTCCCGTTTGATTTAACCTTTCAATCACAGCAGTTTTGTGGCTACATTAGGAGGCAAAATACAATAATGTCTAGTACATACAGTATAGTTGCCATCATTAGTCAAAATATCTATTGCTTTGGTGAAGGCTGTGCAGCCAATGTAGTTGTTCTTCTTCTTTTTCTTCTTCTTCTTCTTCTTCTTCTTCTTCTTCTTCTATTCAAGATCTCCATCCTTTGATTCCTGTGTCCTTAATGTTTTACATTACGATTTTGCCATTGTGACTTTATGTGCATTGATATTATGCACCTTGTTAGACAAATTATTGAAACAAGAGATATTCATATCTGTGGTAGTCCATATTCAGCCTCTGTTTTGGATTGAAATATCTTCACATTTGGTTTGGTTTTCTTTCTAAAATGGATCTCTTGGACACAATAGCCTCAAGCTATTTCAGGCTTGATGAACGAACTACTTCAATTTTTACATCTCATTACAGAGGTAAACTGATTCCTACCCTGTACAAAAACAAGACCTCATTCAATATTTTAAACAAAGACATGAACATTATTAGAAAAAGAACCAATAAGATCACTTTCACATTGTGGTGGTAGATAGTTTGGTAGCACTTTACAATAAGACTACCCTTAATAAGGGTTTACGAAGTTTGTAATTCATTTATTAATTAAGTTGTGAACACTTTATAAATAATGATTAAGCTTTTATAAGACATGAGATAAACAGGGCAACTGTGACCGGTTTCTTGCCAAATAGTGAGCCCACATTTATCTGTACTGCTAAGCCTTATATTGGCTACTTAGCTTACTTCGTCTTCTTCATCAGCCAGCATCCTTGGTATCTGTTGCTCACTGAGTTGATTCTCGCTAAGTAGCCAATATAAGGCTTAGTCATCTTGCAAAATAGTGAGCCTGTTTTGATGTATGTTAGAACTGGTTTATAAATGGTTCTTAATGATTAATAAAGTGTTTACAACCTAATTCATAACCTAATTATAAACCCTTTATGAATCCTTTATAAGGGTAGTCTTATTGCAAAGTGGTACAGATAGTTTTGTGTACCATATTGCACTGTAAAATGTACAAAATATCACTATGTTGTTGGCTAGTGATCTGCAATCTTATTCACAAGCACTTTGAAGCATGTTTATTTATCTACAACATACAGTGTACTTTGAAACAGTAACACATTTATAAATAAATATTGCAATCTTAACAATCTTACAATTCTCCTTTTGTATTGTCAGTTCTTTATGACTCGTCACCTGAGCTTAAAGAAGGTGAGGCAACCTCTACCTGTTCTGTCTCCTTCCTTTCACTTGTTCTTTTAATGTGCTATCATTCACCAGCAGATCTGTTTAATATTTGCCCTTGGGCTTTTTTTGCCCTCCTCACCCCCTCAAATGTTAATTTAAATAAATAGATATTTAGGAGAAAAAAAATAATCATATATCCTTAAAATCTTAATAAATCTTGGAAATAAAAAGCTACAATTAATATCTTCCAAATTGATGGAAAAACATAATAAAAACTATTTATAAAAAAAAAAAATTAGGAAAAGAAATACATAATTATTGTCAACAAAACAAACATGTTTTATGAACCACTATCTATGCGACTGTTTGTGTCACTCCACTTGGCATTGTAATGTCATTCATTATATCCTGTTAGCTCCATGTAGGAAAGGGTCTATCTTGTAGCCATCCTGGTTTCTGTTTTAAATAATCCTCATTATTAAGAGTTCGCTCTGGCTTTGCAAAGCCCAAGCAGCCTCTTTTTTGTATGAGACACCTCAGTCAGTCCCCCTTTAGTTCACGGAGAGTATTTCACTGTATACTGCAGTTCCAAAAGTGTCTAATGCTGTCCAGTCACAGACAAGGGAAGGGGCCTGGGGATGATGCGATTGGTTGTGAACACAGGGAGAAACCCGTCATTGGCTGGAAGGTTTCACAAAAAAGGAAGTCAGCCTGAAATATGGCTAATGTCATTTCCTGTTTGTTATTGTGCAGGTTTATATGCCTCTGTCTTGGATCCAAGGGAGAAACAGTCTTTTGTATTTCACATCATCATCCAACTCTTGAAACATTCTGTTGTTTGAGGAAATAGCATGATGGTATTTAATGCTGAATGGCAGCCCCCACAGGTGTCCGAAGTTATGGTTGAGTACTTGGAATATATATATTTTTACATGATACATTTCATTTATGAGCAATGCCAAAAGAAAATGGGTCACATGATAGAACAAAAACAAACAGGTAGTATATTTGATGTGCACTTTTTTTTCAGTAATTATAATCATCAGCAAACTTGGTAATTCATTAATAGATTTATAAATGATAAATCAAATGCCACAGTCAATGCTGGCAATTATGATTAAAAATACTTCAGAAATGATGCTCTTACCATCCTTGGTCTAAATGTATAGTGGCATGATAATGTTTGTCTAATAACATACCCTGAATTTACTGTATAGCGCAATGGTTTACTAGTATTCTGAAAATAAACACTTATAACCAATGGTAACTTTATTATTGATTCTTACACTAATATTTTCACAAATAAATTATAAATTATAAATTAACTCATAAGGTTTATTATTGTTTGCTACCATTGATGTCAGTTTAAGCAAGTAATGACAGTATGCTTTCCACAGCCAAAGGGGAGCTAAAGGTATGCTTTCCCTTCACTGTCCATTCAATAATCTTTTAAACTCTTGGCAACACTTCGAGTTTCATTTACTGATCTCATATTCCTCCCTGTCTCCCTCCCTTCATCCATTGCAAAGGCATTACAGGTGAATTGTACTCATTGTCCATACTCCCCCTCCTGCACTCATCCTGTGCCCCTCCATTTCTCTGTCCCTTTCCCATCAGTCACAGATTGTCTTGTAGCCTCTCCATGTAGGTTCTGATTTCAGACTGACCAAGGTCCATATCCTGGCACACCCACTTTATGTCATCCTCACTGCCATTGGTCAACATGACTGAAGAGTTGGTGTATGGGCCACCCCCACCGGAATTATCATTTGGCAGAACGGTGGCAAAAGACGTGAACTGGACGCGTTTGCGTTTGGCAGCTGCAACCGCAGCTGCAGCCGTGGCCCGGGGGGAATTATTCAGATGCTCCCCTTGGCAAGTGGATTTTTTTCCACTAGTAGGCATTGCAGAAAGGCACTGATGTGGTTCTGCAACAGATCTGGGCAGGGTTTGTCCATGGGCGATGCCACGATGTCCCCCTGGACCACCTCTCCCACTAATGGTTCCCATGCCTGAGCCCACGCCCATCATCAAGGTGTTGCCAGCCCCGTTCAGGAGGTATTTGTTCTCCTCGTATCCTCCCTCATTCCTGTCAATGATAGTGGTGCACTCATCATGCAGCCCGCCCTGGCATTGGTCAGAGTGGTCAGCTAAAAGGTCAGCCTCATTGCCAAGCCACACCCAGTCATGGGCGTGGTTCATGTTGTCTCCCGCCTCCAGCACAGGGACCTGCTTGTGACGGTATCTGCAGATGAATGATAGAAATGAATCAAAGGCTGAAGCTGAAATTGAACCAACCCATTGACCTTTCTTAAATTTGAGAATGAAATATATATGTGACATATATGATATGACAATAAACCTTTGAAAATGTAACATTAAGAATTGAAAACATAGAAAATGTAATGCCTTATGTCTTAATCCACATACTTTTACTGCTAATTTTCCTTTAGATTATAAAATAATTGAGTCCTCAATTATCACAATGTTTTACCTGAATGCAAAACTGACGCAGTTGATGAGGAAGACCAGTATTGCCAGACAGAATACACCCAGAAGGGCATACATTCCAATCTCCAGGTCCGACAGTCCTCTCGTGGTCTGAGTCAGCTCACTATCTCCAGTGCCTGGTAACTCCACCTGTGCTGGGTAGCTACTGTGGTCCCCGGCCTGGCTGGGACCCCCACCCCGGCTGCTGCTGCTGCCTCCACTGGCAGCTTTGCCACCTGAAGCACGGTGGGTTACTGCGCTCTTGGTGGTTGTGCTAACCTGATTAACAGAGATTAACATAAACAGTTAACCCCAACGGTTCAAAATATAACAGTTTGTTTGTTCATTATACTGTCCATCACTGGTTTAGGTTATATTTGTTAGATTGTCTATTGGTAGTTTGGTATATCGTTTTTGTTACAATATTTATGCAGATACATATTTTAAAAGCAATATTTTAAAAGTGTTTACTTAAAGTATATATTGATAGTGTGCATTGAACAGATTTAGAATACTTTGGAATTAAATATAAAATAGTAAAAAGCAGAATATTTCCGTCTACTTGTGAGATTTCAGATTGACATTTTACTGATAATTATGCCTGTCAGCATGTCATTCACTTCCTATTAAGATACATAAGAATGCAGTCTACCATTTAGTAATGGTGCAGAAAATTACATACTTTACATAGTGCACTATCATTACATTTGATTTTTCTTGAAATCTTTTTGTAACCCCCACCTTCCTCATTGCTCCTTCCTCTCGATCCACAGCTGCACTGTTGGATTTCCACTCTCCTCCATCCTTTGCTTGGTGCTCGCTGGTGCTGTTGTCGGTCCCTGCTCCGTCGTCCTGTCCACTTCTACCCATCACACCCCTCTCTTCACTTTTTGCTCCAAACTTCACTACCACATTGCCAACTCCAGATGCCAGCACACTCTTCCTTTTGGACTTCTGACAGGTCTCAGAGATGACCATCTCCACTCGAACCAGGGCTCCCTGTCCCTCGCCCTCTGCCACTACAATAGGCCAGTGTTGTTCCTAACAGAGTAATGAGTCGATGTTAAGGTACACAGACAAATCTTTGGACAACATCATGTAGCGTTCGTCACATAACGGCAAAGTGTTTCCTGAAAATATCCACTAGTCAGACTTGCAATGCTTGTTTCTGGCACATTTTACACAGCTTTGAACTATTAGTCAGACAAAGAAAGTGTCTAATGGCTCGTACCTGATTGGTTATGGAGATGACACTCTCATCCAATGACACAGCCGAGAGAAGAAAGTCTTTTGGATCATAGACGTCAAGAGGAGTCACTGAACCATCACTGTACTGGATCCAGGAACTGATTGCTGCTTCCTGAAATATACATCACATACATCTTGTAAAAGTGTATTAGCAGGGTTTTTGGACTACAAACAGTCTTTAATGGCCTTTACTTGGCAATAATTGCTATAAAAAAGGTAATATTCAAATCTTCGAAAGCCAATAAATGTAGTATTGTTAAGGGATGGACAATTTTTCTAATGGGTCTATGAGTGTTACCTACAAATGACAAACAGACAAAGTATACAACTAGCTTGTAAAGCATTTAGCAGTTACAGAGCCAAATACTGTACAGTATGTGTCTTAGTAAAAAACATGTTTGGAGGCAGGTGATTCCAACAATATTTACATCTGGCCTGGTCCATTACCAACTTGATTTTCCAATGAGCTATAAACCGTAACAATCAATCACAAAAGACAGTCATTGAAGTTGTCCTTGGTAGCTTGAGAGTATGATATATATATATATATTTTTAAACATTTCAGCTGTTTATGTTTCTATTGCAATGCAAGCATGTTGTTACACTTGGTGATAGCCAGAAAGAGAGACACCTACACTTCCATCCATTCACCCAGCACACACAAACAAGAATATGTACTGTACATACTGAGAATTTTAACTGAACCATTTCCATTTGTACACAGTAAAAAAAAAAGCCTGACATTGTTATAGTGCCTTTCTCCACTCCCTATCTTTTTTATCACAAAGTGAACAAATATTTGGAAGATGGCATTTTTTTTTCTGTCAACAGCTTTCTTCTAGCAGTAGCTAAACCATAGTAGTAAAGCAGAGAATGTATTGTTCTCTTCTTGTCTGATCATGTCTCACTAATTTCCCTCGATAAAAGCTGTTGCTTCCTTTAATCAGAACACAGAAAATAATGTGTAGGTATAAAATAACCGAACCTCCCTACAAAAGTAATTAAGCTCCAATGTTAGGAACAATACTCTTTCTCTCCCTCTATTTTCACATTAAATTGTAATTTTTGTTCCGCCCAGTCTCCTGTTTTTTTTAATTTCTTTTCACCCTATTCTCCCCTTCTCCTCACTTTCCCTCTACATAGTAGCGTCTTCTTTTCCACAGGTAATGGTGAATGATGGAGATAAAAACCGACGGATTGGAAAATAAAAAAACAAATTAATGTTTGAATAAAAGGCAATATCAGATCTGAATTTCCATCGTAATTTGCTGCTTCTTATCCAATTAGCCCATGGATAGAAATTGTAATGTGGGGATTTGTTTGATAAAATACAAAAAAATGAAAGAAGGGAGAATGGAGAAGGGAAGGGAGGGAAAAGAGGATGTGAGGGATAATAGCTTGAGACAGTCTGAGTAAATAACCCTATCATGTGAATAGTTATATAGTACTGTAACTTGGTAGCCTTAAAACATATTCAGTATGCCTGCAGGTTGTTCTATAGATAGTGTGTCGTTATGCATCGAGTAAAAGCAGATAAAAATTGTATCATAATGTTAATTTATCATTTTCATTTTGTTGACAAATATAACATATCTTTGTCATTTGTGAATTCTATTGTGCATTGTCAAAAAAAAGAAGGAAATGCCTTCATGTGGTTCTAGCTAAGAATAAAGAGTATTGAATGTACTGTATACCTTAAGGTGGTTGTAACTGTAGCTAAGTAGTGCTATAGCCTGGAAGTTAACACACTCCTAATTAGAAACTGATCACGGGAGAGATAGCAACTATGTGATGTTCGCAGCACAGAATTACTGTTTAACTTCCATGATTACAACCTCAGGGGAATTACTGTAGATGGAAACAGCTTAAGATCTACTCCATCAGTGTGGTGTGTGTGTGGGTGTGTGTGTGTGTGTGTGTGTGTGTGTGTGTGTGTGTGTGTGTGTGTGTGTGTGTGTGTGTGTGTGTGTGTGTGTGTGTCTGTATGTGTTTGTTAGTGCACATCTCCTACCTGTTTAGGTGTGTGTAACAGGTCTGTTGCTGTAGTTGTAAGCTGAATAGCCTGGTAATTTCCAGGACTTGCTGTCATACTGATGGACAGAGATGCAACCAGCTGGACTCCCAGGTCAGTGATGGTCACCTGAAAAAAAAAAAGGGAATATCTTAAAACATAGCGATAAAAGAGACCAATATCTTAAATACATAAAACCATTTAATTGTGTTACCTTGTCATCCAACACAGTCACAGTCTTCTCTGCCAGGATAGAATCCGACAGTGGGGAAAGAACCTGCAACAAAAGATCACAAAACGGTGATTGGTTGTAAAATTACATCCATTTATGTTATTTTGCCTTTCTAGACGCACAAAAGCAATTTTGTCAACATTTGAGTTTGTAAAAAGCTTTTAACAAAAATGTCATCCGTTGGCAGTTTCAAATGTTTTGATCCAACATCAAGTGTCTGCTCAAGGAAAATTCCTAAACAATACACAAGTTCACCAGCTTCAAAATCCAAGTATAATTTACATTACGGTGAAGTGGGTTGATTGACAAGTGATGGAATGTAAGCTTGTGTTTGAAAAGGTTGCAAAATTATAACAATGTTAACAACCAGCTCCAGCTGGTCATGGTAAATGAAGTATAGGAAATTAAGAAGTAAAAATAAGGGAAAACTCTGAACGACAGTACAGGAGCAAGGTACATTTGAAGAGATGCGTTGTTCTTTCAGTGAATATTATCCTAAAGGTCCCCTATTATACTGTTTTTCATCAATATATTACAGGTCTCAGATATATACAAAACATGTCTCTGAAGTGTTTGGCTTGAAACACCAAACAGATCATTGTAGCATCCCATAATCCCCTCTGTTTCAGCCCTGTTTCAAAAGTGCTGATTCTCTGTCTGTTACTTTAGGTGGAAATAAGGAGCCACTCCCCACGCCCCTCTGAGAGATATTTGGTTAAAAAGAACACAATGGAGCTCTAGGAGGAGATTCAGGTGATAAGGTGGGGGGGTGTTACCTTGGTTGGTGATTGGCTAATGGTTACACAAACCAAAAAATCGTTATGACATCATAAAGTGGCCAAAATCTGATGAGCTCATTTTCAGACAGGTTTTTATATAAATGGATCAGGACAAAAAGAGAGAGAATCTTTTTTCCTGAAACTTTCAGAATCTCTTTTTACATAGGGGACACGTTGATGTATAAAAGACATGAAAAAGTGGATTTTGCATAATAGGTGACCTTTAAGATAAAAGTGAAGTGTGGCTTGTGGCCACATAGACTGGCAGTATATGTATAAGCTAGGAAACTAACAGACTCATAAAACACACAGTCCTGAGAAAGCCGACATTACTTTGTTTAAAGAAAAAAAAAAATTTCAGAAAAACTGCTTCTATTATATCACATCTCTGACTAAATGTAACACACGCCAAGTAGTGGAACGCACACACACACACACACACACACACACACACACCCACA